AGGTCTCCTGATGACGAGAAAGAAGATGAATCAAAGTCTTTGGGAGATTGTCCACAACCTAAATACTACCCTAACCTTCCTAAATCTGCAGCGCCTGGAAAGCTAATGTGTTGGTGGCTGATGTCAGTCATGTTAGTATGGCAGTTGCTATTGGCTGATTGAAGACAGGGAGTGAAGAGAATTAGCCTGCCTTAGGCTCTTAGTAAGTAGAGATGCGTGAAATAGTGAGTGTGGGAAAACTGGGAAGCAAGCAACACAGCGGTCAAACGTCAGATGTGCTCGGGTGGATCAATTCTGGCAGGCCGCGCGCCATTTTCCCGCGCAAAATTTCTAAAAAAACATAAAAACAGCTCCTGTCTCGCAAAATAAGCGAAAGAAAATTGATACGTGCATCGTTATCTGTAAGAGGAAATAAAGTAGGGAAAGAAAACTCGATAATTTAAGAACACGAAGCTAATTCAAGTACGGGTATCCTGTTGATTCACCTTTCCGTTTTAATCTTTAACAAAAACAAAGACGATTGCAAAACACCTCGACTAACTTACATGTGAGGCTGTGTGTAACTCGTTTCTGACAGCACTCTACGTAGTAATTACAACCTGCGCACATGCGCAGACGTTGGACCGCTGTGTTGAAGTAAGCAGGACGCGGCGGCTGCGGTTACCAAGGAGACGTCTGCAGATCACGCCCGCTTGCCTGCAAGTTGAAGCGCGCGCCATTTTTCGCGTGTTCGCTTTCTCGCTCGTCTTCGCTGATTGAGAGGCTGGAACAGGCTAAGAGAGAAGAAGTGAGGATGAAGGAAGAGAAGAGTAGAAATGGTAGAGTCATAGAGTAGAGCACAGTACAATAATGTACAGTAGTATGAAGTACAGTGGACTTTAAGTCTGGGAAGATTAGAAGGAATAACTGAGTATACCCAATATAGGAGAAAAGAGTTAGTTTTTTAGGAGTGTAGCTGTGCTGAGCTTAGTAAAGAAGTATTAAGAACATTACAGTAGCGAGACATTCGTATGTGGAGTAAAGTAACCTTAAAATATAACCACGCAAAAAAAGCATCAAGGCCTTCAAGAAGACGGTCTTCTTTTTTTATATATGTAAAAGCACTTTTATAAGAGGCACACCTCGATATTTGAAGTCTATTTGTTGGTTAAATGCGACCACGAGTGAACTTTGTTTATTATTTACTAACCTGCGTGCCTTACGCACGACGGGGGAGGGGTTGGGAGGCGGCATTTACGCCAGTGCGTATTTTAGGATCAGGATCTGGCTGGGAAATCCTGGCGATCGCACTTTGCCCTTAGATCAACTTTCTTTTCACTTTGTGCACCGGCCACATAAGCCTATTCTTCGCAAGTCGTAGTTTTGTATCTAATCT